TTTTGGAGGGGATTTGGGGATTTTGGGGAGGATTTGGGGATTTTTTGGGGGGATTTTGGGGACTTTGGGCCAATTTGGGGTCACTTTGGGACCAATTTGGGGTCACTTTGGGGATAAATTTGGGGTCATTTCAGGACCAATTTGGGGTCACTTTGGGACCAATTTGAGGTCACTTCAGGGCCAGTTTGGGGTCACTTTGGGGATAAATTTGGGGTCATTTCAGGACCAATTTGGGGTCACTTTGGGACCAATTTGGGGTCACTTGGGGTGTAAATTTGGGGTCACATCAGGGCCAATTTGGGGTCACTTTGGGGGTAAATTTGGGGTCATTTCAGGACCAATTTGGGATAAATTTGGGCCAATTTGAGGTCACTTCAGGGCCAGTTTGGGGTCACTTTGGGGATAAATTTGGGGTCATTTCAGGACCAATTCGGGGTCACTTTGGGACCAATTTGGGATAAATTTGGGCCAATTTGAGGTCACTTCAGGGCCAATTTGGGGTCACTTTGGGGATAAATTTGGGGTCATTTCAGGACCAATTTGGGGTCACTTTGGGGGCAAATTTGGGGTCACTTTGGGATAAATTTGGGGTCATTTCAGGACCAATTTGGGGTCACTTTGGGACCAATTTGGGGTCACTTGGGGTGTAAATTTGGGGTCACATCAGGGCCAATTTGGGGTCACTTTGGGGGTAAATTTGGGGTCATTTCAGGACCAATTTGGGATAAATTTGGGCCAATTTGAGGTCACTTCAGGGCCAGTTTGGGGTCACTTTGGGGGTACATTTGGGGTCACTTTGGGGATAAATTTGGGGTCATTTCAGGACCAATTTGGGGTAAATTTGGGGATAAATTTGGGCCAATTTGAGGTCACTTCAGGGTCAATTTGGGGGTATCTCGAGGCTGATTTTGGGCTCAACCCGGGTGATTTTTGGGCGCAGCCATGGCGGTATCGGGGTACCTGAACCTGGCAGCCGACGCCGCCCACAACTTCACGGACGGGCTGGCGCTGGGAGCGGCGTTTTGGGGGAGCCCGGCCCGGGGGGCTCTGACGGCGCTGTCGGTGCTGCTGCACGAACTTCCTCACGAATTGGGGGACATGGCCCTGCTGCTGCGCGCCGGCTGCTCCAAGGGACAGGTGACAAAAAAATCCTGGGATTCGGGGAAAAAATCCGGGAAAAAAACGGGAAAAATCTGGGGGGGAAAAACGACGCTGGAGGACCGACCATAGAGTTGGGTGGTGGGTAGGGCAGAGCGCCCCCCCGTGGCGGCGGGTGTGGGCTCGGTGGTTACTTCCGGTGCCGCCATATTGGGAGGGGATTAGCGGTGAGGCCACGCCCTCTCTGTGTGGCTCCGCCCACTTCCACAAGCCACGCCCCCTCCCCCTTCCCGGTGCGATTTTGGGCGGGAATTTTGGGAAAAGATCCAAAGGATTTTTAAAGGGATTTAAAGGAAATTTTAAAAGAAATTTTTGGGGAGATTTTTGGCGGTTTTGATGGAATTTTAAGGGGGGAATTGCAGGAAAAAAATTCCAGGAATTTTAAGGGAATTTTGGGGGGAATTCCGCGGGATTTGGGGAAAACTTGGCGGGATTTCGAGAGGGATTTCGGAGCAATTTTTTGGGATTTCAGGATGGATTTGGGGGGATTTTGCGGGATTTTGGGACCAATTTGGGGTTAATTTTGAGGGATTTGGGGCTGGATTTTAGGGGATATTTTTGGTGGGTTCGGGGATGAATTTGGGGGCATTTTTAGGGGATTTGGGGTGGGAATTTGGGGTTATTTTTTTGGGATTTGGGGCCATTTTTGCAGGATTTGGAGCTGGATTTTGGGATAATTCTGTGGGATTTTGGGACAGATTTGGGGCTGAATTTGGGAGTATTTTTTTGGGATTTGGGGCTGAATTTGGGGATAATTTTGCAGGATTTAGGGCGGGATTTGGGACTGGATTTGGGGCTATTTTTGTGAGATCTGGCACTGGATTTGGGGTAATTTTGCAGGATTTTGGGACCAATTTGAGGATAATTTTTACAGGAATGGGGGTTATTTTTGGGGGGATTTGGGGCCATTTTTGCAGGATTTGGGGCAGGATTTTGGGATAATTCTGCAGGATTTGGGACTGGATTTTAGGGATATTTTTGCTGGATTCGGGGGTGAGTTTGGAAACATTTTTATGGGATTTGGGGTGGGATTTGGGGCTGTTTTTGCAGGATTTGGGGCTGGTTTTTGGGGATATTTTTGCAGAATGTGGGGCTGTTTTTTGGGGATATTTTTACAGAACTTGGGGCAATTTTTCTGGGATTTGGGTGAGGATTTGGGGTTATTTTTACAACATTTAGAGCTGGATTTTTTGGGATTTGATGCCATTTTTTTGGGGAATTTTTTGGACATTCCCATCAGGCCATGCTGCTGCAACTTCTGACCGCCGTGGCCGCCTTGGCCGGAGCCGCCTGCTCCCTTCTGGCGGAAGGTTCCGGAACCGGAGCCGTCTCCGGGATCCTTCCCTTCACCGCCGGCGGATTCATTTACCTGGGAACCGTCTCCGTGCTTCCCGAAATCCTCCGGAATTCCGGCCCCGCCCAGGCCCTGCTGCAACTCCTGGCGCTGCTGGCCGGCGTGGCCATGATGCTGCTCATCGCCCACTACGAGTAGGGAATTTCCCCCTCAAAAATTCCCAAAAAATTCCCAAAAAACACCCAAAAAATCCCCTCAAAATTCTCAAAAAATCCCACGAAAATTCCCAAAAAATCCCACGAAAATTGGCAAAAAAAATATCCCAAAATTCGCGGGATTTTTTTTTTTTTGCCTTTCCTAAATTCATCCCCTTTTTTGGGACCAAATCCAAGCCCCTTCTACCCTCGATAAAAATCGGGAGGTTTGGGGTCCGGCCAGAGAAAGGGGGGAAATTGGGGGATTCCCGGGGAATTTTGGGAATTTGGGGGGGATGG